CGACATTGCATGACATTGCACTACATTGGCATATGCTGTATATTTGGTGGTCGGATGACTTGTATACATTTTTGTTGTAGTTGTTGTTGCTTTAATTAATTCCCGAGGCATGATCCCGTTTACTTGTACTCTATTCTTTGTGTGGATTCACGGGGTCATTAAGAGGTGTGTCTTAAACACTTCCTACTGAGAGGTTGGCTTACCCCTCCATTTTATTAACATTTTAGGATACAGATAGGAGGTGGCGGATGAGGATCCACCACAAGCTTGATTGGGACTTAAAGTTTATTTTGGCACCCTTGTCTTTTGGAAACTATTCTTTTGTTGAACCTCATTTTGAAAAATGTATTCATTTTGTAAAGCATGACTTTATAATGTAATTAAGATATCTTGATAGTGTTTTGATGCTTATAAACTCGTTGTAATGATTATGTTGAACCTTGGGATGAAAGGGTTAGTGATGAATCATTTTGGGAAGTTGTTGGCACATATAATTGGAGAATGTTGTGTATTGACTGCCGTGAATTCAGAACAGGTTTTATGCAGGATTGGCTCACAACGAGCCCAATTTCCTTGAGTTTTCAACTGCAGATAGCAGCATTCCTAGGCCTGTTGGCCAGCTGACAGCGGGTGTTAGCCAACCAACAGTGCATTTCTGGGTAGGACAGAGAGTTGGTGTTTTAGAATTCTTGTTTCAGCCCCCTGACTCACCCAGTCAGTCGACCGAACCCCAGGTTTCAGCCTACCGAAACTGGATCTCCAGCCAGCCGACTATTCATTTGGAGGAGTCCTGAGACTTTGCAAATTTAAGCACCGTTTCGATCGGCTGACCATTCCAGTCAGCCGACCGATCCTTGTGTTTCAGTCGACCGACATATGGCTTTCAGCCGGCCGACCCTCTTCTTTTCCTTTGCACTTGTGATCCACCAGTGTGGTTGGTAGTCTAAGGTGTTGGGGACTTTTGGATGAAGTATATGGTGTGCATTGACATAAGAAAGGACGGTAATGCCCTTAGTTGACCTCGGGTTCGAGTAAGGACTCGGTTAACGATTCGGACTCTCGGGTTCAGGTCGTTACACGTAGGATGACTATGAGGCTCCCGAATCTCATTTAAATCATTGGATGACTTTAGTAAATGACGATTTTACCCTTAGTGGATCTTAAAGTATTAAATTAATGTGAAATGACCATAGTACCCTTGTGTCTCCTCGGGTCCGGGTGAGGACCCGGTTAGCAATCCGGATCTCCAGATTTGGGTCGTTACATGTCTTTTATAAAAGTAAGGGCAAATTTGGTATTAACAAAGTTTCATTGAAAATGTTAGCCTTTCCTTCCATTTCATTTTTTTTTTCCTTTAAAAAACTATACTAAACACACTATTTCATTACCTTTCTTTTCTTTTCCTTCATTTACCCTTCAGCTAAACAGGGCCTTAAAGAGAGAGTGGAGAAAATAACATAATAGATCCCTCTACTTTATTTTTATGTGTGAAAGTACCTGTGAATCAAAACTCTTCATTTCTTTTTAAAAACTCTCCACTTCTCTATTTTCAAGAGAAATGCCCTGGGGTGCCAAGCACAACTCTTAAAACGACCATGATATTGTGTACAATTTAAACGCTCGTGAGGAGTCTAAGTGTAATTTACCCAAAAAAATTTAGCTTAGACTCACCTCACACCCTAAGTCACATAAAGTGGGATCAAGAATGAATTTGAGAGCAAGAGCGCGAAAGTGGCAAAATTAAGTCACAAATAGTGGGAAAAAGAGAGAACGCACGAGGAGTATGAGAGCAGCACCCGTTAAGAAGGATTGTGTAACTTAACTCACACCATAGAAGATGAACAAATGGTTATAATTAACAAGTTTTATCATCCTTAATTTGCTTTAAATTTTGCTTATATCTCTTTCTTCGCACACTTTCTTTTTCTTTTTCTTTTTCTTTTTTTTTTTTTTTTCTTCGACTAGTTTCGGCATTTAAATCCCTTTTTTTAAAGCCATTTTGGCTTTCAAAATCTCATGGAACGACTCTTCAAAAACTTCTTGAAGATTGTTTTCGTCTGGCTCTCCATCAGCTTTCTCATCACTAAAATCCTTAGGACCTATATCACTCAAAGTATCATACTCGTTAAAAAGACGCATAGCACTATTATAGTCATTTTTGTACCTCGAAAATTGAATAAGAGGGAGTGGCCTTGAACAATAATAATATCTAGTATCATTAAAATTTGAGTGGGGCATTCTTAAGAATTTTACAAAAAAAAAAAAAAAAAAAAAAAAAAAAAAAAAAAAAAAAAAAAAGGGCCATTTTTAAAATTTTACAAAATTTATAAATAATTTTTTAAAATAAAAAATTTCAGAGCCCTTAATAGCTTCATGTCTAATGACACTTATACCCTTATAATTTGTTCATTTTCTATAATATACCCATAAAATATTTTTGCCCCCTAAAATTCCTAAAAAATGCATTATTGTCTCCCAAAATTAATTTTGACCCCCTTACCTAACATCCTAGCTCCATCCCTGGCTTACAACTTTTGTTTTCCTAGAGTTTCTAAATTCTTTACCTTTATCTTTTTTTATCTTTCCATTTATATAATAATATTTTTATATTATTGTTATCTCTGAATTTACAAGTACTTCCTTTACTAAAGTTTCATTTTTTCTTGCTTAAGGAACCTTTTAAATTTTCTAACCAAGATAGAAATTTTTTTACTCTCTTCTAATGCTGTGACTTTGGATTGAAACCCCATGGGCAGTATTTTTATTTTATAACAATTTTTTTTCCCCCACAAATTTTCTCACCTAGGTTGAAGCTACAATTTGAGTTAGAGAAAGATTTTTAAAAAAATAATAATTCTCTTCATCATAATAAATCTCAAACATAGTTGTGAGCATCTGCAACTTTGATAAAATTCAACTCTTCTCACTTAGTGAATTGAGAAAGGCTCTCATAAGAGCTTTCAAGTAGGCATAGTTAGAACCGTCAAACAAAGGAGGTTATTGAACCGATCCATCATCTTTCAACTGAGATTCCACAGTGGATTAGTGGATTTTCAGAATCAAGTTTTAAATTTTTTTATAAGATCTCCCATCAAGATCAATTCACTATTTTGAGAAACTTGCTCTGATACCAAATGCAAGTTGCATCGTGCATAAGTGGAGAAAAAGTTAATCCAAATCGGAAAGACCTTGAGGGGATAAATAGGTCTAGTTTGCACATTCAATTGATTTTTAGTTTATTTTTTATTTTAGTGAATTTAAGGCGCAATTAACTAATCAACACACAAGCAAAAAAATACTGCCTTCCATCTCATAAAAAGTGTCATGTTTCCGTGACTGTCACGGTTCCACAAATATGACACTTTTTATGGGACGGAAAGCAATAAACATAGAAAAAGTTAAGGTAACAAGAACTTTTTGTTGTTCTTCAACTCTATTGCCTGTGGAATCACCAGCAACACTGACCCACATCAATGCAACCACCTTGTGATTGATCTGCTTCTCGCAGTGATCGACTGCCCTATCTTCCACAAAACAGAACAAAGATTTAAATAAAACCTGCTACTATAATCATATTGAATAACTCTGTTGATTGTTTAAGATACCGTGGATCAGAAGTAGAACATTGCACTATACACTCAATGTGAACGCTGAATCGTGTGTATTCAAATTAAACAAAACAAAACATTAGTTGACTTTTTGTGCGGAACACCTTAGGAAGGAAAAATCGTAGAGACTAGCTGTCTAAGCTAAAGAAAAAGAATATACTCCGTTTGTTTGTTTGATAGGAAGGACAAAAATTGAATGGAAGGGAGAGAAGAATGGATGACTGAGGCATCTCTAGGGAAGAGATAAGTGTTTTCCTATTTCGTTCGGTTGGATGAAAGAGAATGAAAAAAGCTAACAATTTAATTTGATCTATACTAGGAAAGATAAATTTGTGATATTCTATGAATTTTTAGTTTTTGAAACAGAGACAAATAAATAAAAATTTTGACCCGGTGTGAAATTTGTCAACACACAATCTAGTCTCACACCTGTTGGAGAATAATATGACGAAAGAAAATATGATATATAGAAACAAACAATCAACAAGAAAAACAATTACATAAGAACACAAGGATTTACGTGATTGGGCACAATTATTTTGCCTACATCCACGTAGCACACCGGAATGTTTACTACCAACAACAATGATGGTTGTTTCAAAAAGAGTTTATACGAACTGCTCTCTGTCTCACAGTCTCTCACAATCTCAAGTGTATATTTCTCTCTCCACACAATGTCCCACACATAGGGTTGATACAAAATCCCATATTTTATGTGGAAACAACTTGCTCCCCAAATCTAGAGCCTTTAAGAAGTAAATTCTCGTAGCTTTTTATATACATCAATCGAATTGGTTACGATTTCGATCTTCTAATGCAGGAAAGGAAGCTAATCTAGCTGGGTGTGTAACCGCTGGCTAGTGAGATCCCAATGTTCGATCGAGCCAAATGCAGATTTCTTTGATCAAACTTACTTGGTCCTCGATCGATCGAAAGAGCTTGAGTGAAATTTTTCATGCTCTCGGGATCTCAAAAATATACCATGTTGATTGAAGTGGCAACTTGTATCGATCAATCCAGACATCAGTACTTTCATCAAAACTTTGTTATTTAAGCTTCATCAAAATGAATGCCAACAATACAGGAATTACACTAGCATATTGAATTCAGAATATTTGGAATTTATAGACTTCAGAAATTCAGGTTTAGCCTTAAAAGTAATTCTTTTAAGCACTCCAGCACTTAGTAGGTTGGTGCCTGAGGAAAAGACCTCAGACAACCTTGCCCTCTGCACTAGAAGAGATACCTTTGGAGAAGTTCATCTGTCTTGTAACGTTTCAACAGGGAGGAACCTATCCAAATCAACAGTGATTTTAAACAATTTAGACCACATTCTCAGAATTTTCTCTGCACGTGTGTGTCACTAACATATTTAATGAACAATTATAGTCATAAGTAACGGAATTTAATTAGTATTAAAAATAAAAAATAAAAAAATAAAAAAAAAAACAAACAAAGAGTGAGGGTTCACGAACTTGGTTTAAATACTTTACCATCATGGCTTTGATAAATACATGAAAACAATGGTTCTTAACAAATAACCAGAAGGTTTCTGAAGAATACAAGATTCATACATTCTTTTTCAGGGTCGGGTGAGGGGTTAGTGTTGACGTGAAAGTGGTTCACCAGATGAGAATATATTTGTTTATTGATACAAACAGTTTCATCGTAACCTTTCTTGGCGGTCAGCATGTGATCAACTAGTGTTTAACAGAAGTTGACATTATACGGAGTTGTGGCCCAGTAACAAATGAAGGCAGCATGTGAGACTCTGGAATGTACAACATTGTGCAATGCCATTTGTTGAATCTGCAGCTACAAGCTCATATCCTCAGGTAAACTGATCTCAAGAAAATATAGGCTGCAAAACGAGCAAGAACATTCATACAAACAATGAGAATAATGATAAAACAGAATATGAACTAATAGGCCATTACCCAGTTTTTTATCCTATTATTCAGTGTAACCATAGGCGGGCTGGGTACAGACCTAACATATAGCATCATTTGCACAACTATAATACTTGTTCACAACTTCTATAATTGTACCAATCAATAGCACCTAAAGAGATTACAAACTAACAAATCAAAACAAATACAGCTTGCTATCATCTGAATCAGCAATTCATAAAGCACCAGGTCATGAAACTAAGTTGAAGGATATAACATTAGCAGAGAAGAATTGGAAGCACATCCTACTCTTGAAACTGCCTTTCTCTTATATATATATATATATATATATATATTTTCTTAGCTAATTATTTCCTTTTTCTGCAAGACCCTCTCCATTTTCGTTAAGAATGTATTATCAGTAGACATGAACAGAATCTCAATGATTCCACAAGAAGTTTAATGTCAAAGTAAACATGAGGATAATCAATGGCTTATGTTACATGGACTCGGGTATGCATGTTCGGTACAAATATGCATCCAAGCTTTAATACATACATTTCACTCATTTTGAAACAATAATATAACAATACTTGAATTATTTGATAAACATTTTAGGTGCATGGCCAATCAAAGTGTCACATACATATCCCAAACCATGTTGGAGTATTCAATGTCCAACACGGGTACTTCATGTACTTTGTCATAGTCAACCACAATTGGTCTGTTTTACACACGCATAATAAAAAGGAATGCAACTGCCTGCTTTCCATCTGGTAACACATTGCATCCTCTTCCTTCCTCAAATATTTTATGCTTTTCCATTTTGAACATGTCCATGTTTTTATTTGTGTAATGCTTACCAACGGGCCAGTGGCCTAGCAATATCAGCCTCTTACCTCCCAAAGGGAAGTCAGGGGTTCAAGTCTCAGAAGAGACAAGTGTGTGTGAGTACCAACTAGGAAAAAAAAAATTTGTGCAATGCTTCTATATTTTTCCATTTTGGCCATGATAGTATACTATAATTAAATATAATTTTGGATAAATGGTATATTAAACTTGAATATACACCATCACTTAATTTGTTTCTTTCTCACTTTTTTACCTACATCCAATGATAATTACAAGTACGTCAGTATATTTTACATATTTTATTTGTATTCCCTTTCTCTACTTTAACTTCCCCATATCAACTATCATGTCCTATACAGCTTTTTATCCTTTTTAACTTATCACAGGATATCTATTACATCCTACATCTTTCATTTTCATCCTATTAACACAAATAACTTTTTTCATTTATCTCTCAATGTGATTTATTATTAATAGTAACACAATGACTTACTTTTCTTCTTGCTTTAGTCCATAATATAAATGGAATAATGACCTTAGTTCCATTTGTATATGTACTTCTCTACATGTTGTTTGTTTCATTTGTATATGTACTTCTCTACATGTTTGTTTCTAATTGACAACAGAAAAGCCATCATGAGGCCACTTCCATGTAAGTTTGCACCCTCGATCATTGGATAAAGAGCTCTCACATAGCGCACCCCCGGTCTAATGGCCGAGGCACGAGCTCACGAGGAGAGTGCCCTCATGATAGCATTACTCATTGACAATTATGATAACACCATTACACATTCATAAAACTAACAATGATTTTGTTAATATTACATATTTTAATTTTATCTCTACCTTAATAGTAATAATTAATAACATCCTTAAAATTATTGATAATATCGGTCGTTATGTATCTTATATGTGTCCTTTTTTTCTCGCATTTAATAGTAATTGCCAGCACCAGCAGTACCATTGACCATACATGCATGAAAGCATCTATTTGTAAAAGTAACACATTGTTTAATCTCTCTTCCATCCTCAACATCAAGGGGTAACAAAGATTATGTCACGATGTATATAAATATTTATGGTTATATTTTACTCTGTCTCCAGCCTTTAACTTACTTTATAAACCCTATCATAATATTTTCTCTTTTCCCATTCTTATACCCAACACCATTTTAACAATAATGATAATGCTTTAACATACTCTTTCTTTTCGTATTTCCTTTAACCTCATTGTAAGAAAATCAACTAATGTTTATATAAATTTACTGTTAGCATATATGATATCCACGATTTATGGATTGACTTACCATAATAGCATAGATTTGACTATGCATATGTTAGCGTATATGATAGCCACGATTTATGGAATGACTTACCATATTAGCAGAAATTTAATTATGCTATAGAATATGCCATAGAATATGCTTTAGAATATGTTGTAATTTGATTTAGTTTCCTTTCTAGTAATATAAGCATGTGTTCTTTTTATCTATAAATATTAGAGCTGTGAATGAGTGATTCATCTCATTCAACTCTTTACACAATTCTCTCATTTTTCTTCTTTTTATATTTCTACTTGGTATCAAAGCCAACACCTTTCCAAACCTTTCAGCAGCCCTGCTACTTGTACACATGTTTTTCTGTGTTGCTATTTTGTGATTAAAGACATGTATTTTTATGTTTTACTATTTCTTTTTTACTCTTCTACAGTTGGGTAAATTGGGATAGTTGGTCTCCAACACCTAGAAGGGCTTGGGTAAAAAAAATACTAGTCTACAAAGAGATTCCGGATATTAAGAAGGAGGTTGTTTGGCTATATGTAAGCAGGCAGCGCTCCTTAAAAAAAAGTATGTATTTGGATTTTTCGGGAATGGTCTGAGGAGCCATTGTTATTGTTTATGGTCTGAGGAGACCCTTTGATTTATTAACAGAATTTGTGGTGTTTTTGGAGTTTTTTTATTGTAGTGTGACAGATTATGGCAGATTCAGGGTCCTCGACTGTTAATTCTCTTGGCTCAAGTTATGTGGGTGGTGGTGCCATTTTTCCCACCAACTCATCAGACAATCCAGGACTTCAAATCACCATAGTGAAGTTGGATGGTTCCAACTATTTGATTTGGGCACAGTCTACCAAGATGTTCATTGGTGGCAAAGGCAAAATTGGCTATATTACTAGTTCTGAGAAAGAGCCAATTGAGTCAGAGAAGGCATATCCACAGTGGTTTGCAGATAACACTATAGTTATGTCTTGGCTAGTCAATTCGATGCAACCAAACATAGTTGTTGGCTATATGTTTATGAAGACTGCTAAGCAAATTTGGGATTCAGTTCAACGCACTTATTCTCAGAGGCAGAATAATGCACGGATTTTCCAACTAGGGCGACATGTCACCAGAATTTCTTAGGGTGACTTAAAAGTTTCAGGTTACATCACCAAGCTTCATGCTATTTGGGAGGAGATGTCATATTATGATTCCTTCCACTCTTGGAAGGATCCAAATGATGCAGTTTCATATACAGGGATTGTGGAGAAGAATTGAGTGTTTCAGTTTCTTGCCGGGTTGAACGACGAGTTTGAGTATGCTCGTGTTCATTTATTGGGCTCATCTTCATTCCCTACTCTTAACGATGCATACTCCTATGTGTTGTCATACGAGAGCCGTCGGACTTATCCATTAGGTGTTGCTTCTGTTGATCGTTCTGCTATGGCAGTTCGGGTTCCCAACCTTTCAAGAACTACACAATCCCAGTCAATTCAGAACTCTACCACCGATCCTCCTTTGGGACGACAACGCGGACGGTGTGACCATTGCGGAAAAATTGGTCACATCAAATCTCGTTGTTATGCTCTACATGGACGCTCACCGCAACAGAAACAACAGCCTCGATCCTCTGCCCATTCTATTACACAACCAGTCTCGTTGTCAACTTCTGACAACTCTGCCTCTACATCTTCTGCCACAGTTACCTTGACTCAAGCTGATTTGGACAAGCTCAAACAATTCTTCAACCAAATGGAGTTATCATCTCAGCCAACCTCCACTTATGCCCACTCAGGTACTATTGCGTCTGCACATAGCGTATCTACATCTTCGACACCATGGATCATTGATTCAGGTGCTTCAGACAATATGACTGGTATGTCCTCATTCTTCCAATCTTATAGTATCTGCTCTGGCCATCGCAAGGTTTGCCTTGCGGATGGCTCTCCATCTTCAATTGCTAGGAAGGGTCACATATCAATTACTCCTTCATTAACTTTGTCAGATACACTTCATGTTCCACAGTTGACTACAAATCTTATTTCTGTTAGTAGCGTTACCAAACAATTAAATTGTAGTGTAACCTTCTTTCCCTCTCATTATATTTTTTAGGATCTGGTGTCGAAACGGACGATTGGCAGTGGGCATGAAGTGGACGGTCTATACTTGTTGGATGCCCCTTTGTCACCTCAAGCACATTCAGCTTCATTTTCTAATTTTGTTTCATCAAATAAAGCCCTGCTTATACATTGGCACATGTGTTTAGGACATATTTCTTTCAATTATTTAAAACATTTATTTCCTTCCTTATTTTGTAATGTGGCAGTGTCAGATTTATCCTGTGAGACATGTCATATGGATAAACATGTTCGTTCCAATTATCCTGCTAGTAGTAATAAATCTACTTTAACACCTTTTGATCTTGTTCATTCAGATGTGTGGGGTCCTTGCCCAGTTACTTCTAGTCTTGGATTTCGATATTTCGTGTTGTTCATTGATGATCATAGTCGTGTTATATGGGTTTATCTTATGAAAACCAAAAATGAGGTATACACTATTTTTTAAAATTTTATGACAATGGTTCAGACTCAATATGGTAGTACCATTAAAAAATTCAAATCTGACCAGGGTACGGAGTACACTTATGGGGAGGTACAGTGGTTATGTACATAATTTGGGATTGCGCATCAGATGGCTAATGTTAAAACTCCTCAACAGAATGGTCGTTCTGAGAGAAAGAATCACCACATCCTTGACTTAGCCAAAGCAATCTGCATTGGCATGAATGTTCCCCAGTCATTTTAGGGAGATGCAGTTCTTACAGCTGTTTACATCATTAATAGGACTCCTTCTAGGGTTCTTAACTTTGCAGCCCCACTCTCAATCTTACATCCCAATTCATATCTTTTTTATTATTCCTCCGTGAGTCTTCGAGGGTGTGTGCTTTGTTCAGTAGTTGGGGCAAACTCATACAAAACTTGACCCCAAGGCTTTAAAGTGTGTGTTTTTGGGTTATTCTCGCTCTCAAAAAGGTTATAGGTGTTACCATCCTCCCAGTCGTCGACTGTTTATATCCATGGATGTTTCTTTCTTTGAGCATACACCATACTATAGTGGTTCAATTGGTTCTCAAAATGAATGGTTCCCACTGAATATAATGGATGATCACCTTCTTCCGTCTTCAACTCCTCTACCGTTACCTGTTTCGTCTTTCTATGATTCCTCCTCGTGATACCCCTCCAGCAGGGGGAATTGTTCCTTTTTCAAAGGTTTATAGTCGGAGACAACAGGTACAAGCTTCTACTACCACGATCGACTACCATGTTCCTTAGGAACCAACTCTACCTTCTCAAGCTATTGTTTCACTTGATGATCACCCCATTGCTCTTCGAAAGGGTAAACGTTCTTGTACATACCTTATTTCTAATTTTTCTCTGATTATGATCTCTCACCCTCCTATCGGAGTTTTCTTGTTTCTGTTGCCTCGGTTCCTCTTCCTTCTAGTGCTGCAGATGCACTAGCACAACCTCAATGGTGTGATGCTATGATAGAAGAACTACAAGCACTTGAGAAGAATCAGACTTGGGGACATGGTTCCACTTCCTATTGGACGAAAGGTTGTGGGATGTCATTGGGTGTTTACAGTTAAGGATAATCCAGATGGGTCAGTTGCTCGTTACAAGGCCCGGTTGGTTGCCAAGGGTTATGCTCAGACTTATGGCATAGATAATCAGGAGACTTTTGCCCCTGTTGCCAAGATGAATACCATCCGTGTATTATTTTCCGTTGCTGCGATTCGATCTTGGCCTCTATTTCAGTTAGATGGCAAGAATGCCTTTCTCAATGATGATTTGCAGGAGGAGGTGTACATGGTTCCTCCTCCAAGCTTTCGTTCTCCTGCTCATTCTGGTATAGTATATAGTCTTCGTCGTTCTTTGTATGGCCTCAAGCAGTCTCCTCGAGCTTGGTCCGATCACTTTGGCACTGCCACGCTCAAGTTTGGTTTCCATCAAAGTGCGAATGATCATACCTTGGTTTTACGTCATTTAGGCGATAAGACAGTTGGTCTCATTGTGTATGTCAATGATATTGTTCTTACCGGTGATGATACTATCGGAATTGCTGAGGTTAAGAGCTATCTTGGCCGTCAATTTGAGATTAAGGATCTTGGTCCCCTAAGGTACTTCTTGGGCATTGAGGTGGCTCGCTCCAAGGCTGGCATTTTCATCTCTCACCACAAGTATGTTCTTAACTTGCTTTCTACTTCTGGTCAGCTTGGCGCTCGCCCTGCTAATACTCCGATTGAGCAAAATCATCGGTTGGCTGATTTTGAGGAGGAGTTGTCAAATGTTGGTCAGTATCAACGACTTGTGGGGAAGCTCGTCTATTTATCCATGACTCGACCTGACATTGCTTATGCCGTGAGTGTCATGAGTCAATTCATGCACTCTCCTCGTACCCCTCACCTTGGTGCAGCTATTCGGATCCTTCGCTATTTAAAAGGGTGTCCGGGCCGTGGTATTTTGTTTGCTAATCATTGGTCACTTACGTGTTAAGGCTTGGACAGATGCTGATTGTGCAGGATCAGTTTCAGATAGGAGGACAACTTCGGGTTATTATACCACTATTGGTGGTAACTTGGTTACTTGGCGTAGTAAAAAGCAGGATGTTGTCTCTCGATCTAGTGCAGAGGCAGAGTATAGAGCTATGGCTCTTGGGGTATGTGAGTTACTATAGCTGAAAACCTTGATGACAGACTTGTGCCTTCCAATGTCTCTTCCATTCTCACTCTACTGCGACAACAAGTCTGCTATTAGCATAGCAACAAATCCCGTTCAGCATGACAGGACTAAGCATATAGAGGTGGACCATCACTTCATTCGAGAGAAGATCATCTCTGGTCAAATTTGCACTCCATTTGTCACAAGCTCTCAGCAACTTGCAAACATTCTTACAAAAGGCGTCAGCAAGATTGTCTTTGAGAATGCATTATCCAAGTTGGGCGTTTCAAATATCCACGTACCAACTTGAGGGGGAGTGTTAACATATATGATATCCACGATTTATGGAACGACTTACCATAATAGCAGAGATTTGACTATGCATATGTTAGCATATATGATAGCCACGATAATGGAATGACTTACCATATTAGCAGAAATTTGATTATGCTATAGAATATGCCATAAAATATGCTTTAGAATATGTTGTGATTTGATTTAGTTTCCTTCCTTGTAATATGAGCATGTGCTCTTTTTATCTATAAATACTAGAGCTGTGAATGAGTGATTCATCTCATTCAAGCCTTTACACAACTCTCTCCTTTTTCTTCTTTTTATATTTCTACTTTATATAAGTTTAATCCTATCAGGTTTTAATGAAAGAATATGCATATGAATAGGAGAGAAGTCATACATATATAGATCTAAATACATACACAAAAACATGCATACAGATATGTGTCGTATCCTTGTTATATCTTTCCCCATGTCAGAAGGGTGGTTATCGTTAACGTTATAAATGTCATGTTACAGTTTATTACTTATTATAGACTTATTACAAAATAATATATTTCAAATATAATATATATTTTATATAAAACGTACATATTTCATTGTCAGTGGCCTTGGTGTCTCCGTGTCCTCTTCTAACATTTCTCATATCAATGTGTATGCATCGTGTTGTCTGTGTAGCATGCTTCATAGAGCTTAACTATTAGTTAAAAGGGTAGGGCAAATCTCATTCGAATAGAGCGTTTGAGCTTTATTACTCTAACCTCCCCTAAGACTGTCAGCTCACTGAAATATGTTAAAAGTGAATGTAAAAAATCAATTATGTCCTTACATATTAATATTATATATTTTTATAATACAAACTAATTACAAAAAATATCTCATACAAACTTAATAAAAATCTCTCTCTCTAATTTCTCTCTCTCATGGCGTAACATGGCGAAGTGTAACAAATCCCAAGTTCCTAACCATCCGAAATCAAAGCAATGGAGAACTCTTCGTATCCATATTCCGGCAACTCCTCACCGCAATCGCAAGAGATAGACAATGCTTTGTGGGATGAGCCTCTTTCAACCAACTACATGGTCAAGTTCATGTGCAGTTATGGTGGCAAAATTCACCCTAGACTGCACGACTATCAACTCACATACGTCAATCTTGGCCTATCGAACTAAGCATCAGATTCTCAGCTTTCACGTCCAAACTCTCTATCTCTATGGCAGTATCAGTTACCGGAATATCTAGACTCTGATCTCGGTGACCAGCGACAAAGAACCTGCCGCGAGAGGCAAACCCCAGGTTTTCATGAAATATTTTGAGGATTTTGATTGATAATGCAGATTGGAATGAAAACCCCATGGTTTGATTTGGATTTAGGATGAATTAAAGGGTCAATTAGAGATGGGAAATACTAAAATTAGGGTTTCAAACAGTCAATATATATATATATATATATATATATATATATATATAGATGTTAGATATACATGTATATTTATATACATGTGTGTGAGATTAGGGAAGAGGCGGTGGAGGTGGGCGACGGTGGTGTGGAGGCGGAGGTGTGGGGGGGCATGTCGGTTCAATTAAAATTTTAAAAAAGGAAAGAATTTGTGAGAGAGGGGAACCGTAATGGGCGGTGGAGGTGGGCAACGGTGATGTGACGAGGGGTGGTGGAGGTGGGCGACAGTCGTGTGTTGAGAATTTGGGACATCTAGGTTTAAAATAATAAAAAATAACAAAGAATGAGTTAAAGGGTAACTTGGTCACATTATGAAATTTTCTTAACAGTTTTGACGAAGAGAAAACGGAAAGGGGGTGATTGAACACAAGCTTCAAACCTCAAGGGAGGTTAAACTAATAAACATCAAACGCCCCACCCATGTGAGATTTGTCCAAATCTCAGGGGAGGTCAGTGTAATTTATCCTAGTTAAAAACCCCACATAAGCATATAAGATATAATCAGCCAATATAGTAGTATACATAGATTTCCTTCTTTTGTTAGGTTAATAATGATAATGTAAAATTTTTTAAATTATAAAATATAAAAAAATAAATTGATTCCTTCATGTATTGAAATATTAATTTGGTTTATTAATACAATGATAACTACCGTGCTCAACCTTAATTTTTCATCATTGGCTTCATGTCATGTGAACTTATGGCTATAGTATATAATTTGTTTTCTACTAATTATGCCCTATTGTTTTCATTTTAGTTGCCCTATGGTGGAATGTCTAACCCGTGATCATTATCTTTATGCTTGTTAACTGGTAGTTTGCCAACATTGTTCAAGTGATTGCAAACGAAATGAGCTATTTGTTATTATTTTAACAAATGCAGACATGGACTAAAATGAAGTTAAGACAACGATATAGTATATTTTCTATTCCCATCCAAATTTTGATCAAGACAATTCCATTTGTAGCTTTCAAAACAGTTTTACCTTGCAGACATGAAAGCCATTCCAAAGAACACGGCCTTGACGGCTTGCTTCTGGCCCGCATAATCAAATGCCAATGGCAGCATTTCATGCAATGTTAGAAAAGCCATCACCCCACCAACTAGACGAGAAACATATATCCATCAAACAAAATTGTCATACAATGAATGTAACTTTTCCTTTCATCACTCAATAAACTTCAGGGGATGCAAACCTGATCCCAGCAGGCCCTCGAGAATTTCTGGACTTAAGCTGCTTGGAAACAGATAGGCTGCATTTAAAAATACACTATTAATAGCAATAAATTAATGGAATCCAAACACTCTCACCAGCATTTATAAAGAGCAACCTCCAACAAAAAGAGGGGCATATGAATACTTGGTAGTCTTTGTTAGCACAAAAAATTACTGTCCTTAAACGGCTCCTGGGAAGAATTTCTCAAGATCAGCACCAAGAAAGATACCCTAATAACAAAATTTAAGTGTGCATATTATGTGCTCAAATGCCTCAGCACCCTTCACTGTAAAACATTACCTCACTAAAAAACTGTTTCTGATCTTAATTACTAATGCAACTTTCAACCAAAATTTAGTATTTCCTTTCTTCAGAAATATAACCTTTGACACAACATTTCAGCATACTATAAAAGACCGGGAGGCATACCTACAATTATAACACCCAGAGGTTCAGCAAAGCCAGAAAGTGTTGCCAGTTTAAACGCCTGCCATTTGCTGATGCATACACATAAAGAAATCAATTTAAGACAACATACTTACAATTTCAAATATTGCTGAAATAGCATCCCACAATACCATGCAAACTGGCTAAAATAAATTTAGGAAATATTTAAATTTTACGTCACCTGAAATTATGTCTAACAAGATTTTAGTTAGTGCCAAGTTGGCTATAATGGATAATTCCTTCAGGCATGATTTTTGAATTCTAATTTATATGTTACTATAAATAAAAAGAAAAAACTTGAAAAAAGATTAATTTGATCAAATATCTATGAGATAACAAAAGCAATGATTTCGTCAGTACGCCGATTGAAATCTCAATGTCGAGGTCAAATGCAGCTTACAGCTTAAATATATATTAACGTCAGAAATGAAAAGGCAGACTAGCCCATGCCAACCCCAACTCTCATGTTTGGAATCAACTTTCAACATATGCAACAAGGCATGGGATGATGAGAAATCATAATCTGATTGTATAAATGGGCTTGAATTGAAGCCTCAAACAACTTGAACAAAACAAACCCACTGACATTTGGACTATCTACCGATGCATAGGCATGTCTGGTCGATAAATATCCACGTTGCACGTAAAATGGTGTTGGTACAAAACTAGATAAAGAGAAAATACATATTTTATAATAGTAAGAACATGGCCTATTTCTCAGGGAAATGAAGGGACCTCTTTCTTTCAATTTATATCTGTATTTGCAGCGAAAAATAAACTATGAAAGAGTAAAGTAGATTCTATCTATATATAAGTGCGTGTGTATATATAGTATTTTGTGCCAACTCATAATAACTATTTTCAAAAAGTTGAACTGGATGGTGCCTCAAGAAATCCTTACCTTTGTGTTGCAAAATAGACAGGAAGTGCAACAGCAACACCCTGTAAAAATCAGAACTTGAATAAGTTAGAAGCTAAATGGGAGGAAAGAGAAAGAAAAGGTGTGTTAATACTAATTTTTATAATGGAAATTTCTTGACCTTCATGAAATGAGGGAATGCAATAGTTAAAGTTGTATTCGTTTAAAACTCATTCTGCTCCTAATTGGAAAAGGAAGTATCACAAAACTACTAAATCTTAAGAAAATATTGATCATGACATGTTGACCCATGACCAAGGGAAAAATAGAAAGGAAGTTGTCCTAAAATTGCCCTTAACAGGATGAGAACTTGCAATTATCAGAAGTAAGAACCTTTTAGAAATCATGGCTAATAGAAACTGTAATAAGTTTAAAAACCAAAACTTTCATCTAAAAACAAAGCTTTAGTCGCAATAAACAACATTTTTGACAGAAGTCAAAGTGCCATACTGGCACTAGGTGCTGCAAGTGAAGGAGCAGGCAGTAAGCTAACAATTATGATTTACCATTCTCTTGACAACAACTACTGTTGTTTAGGCTATATTATTGGAGCTTAACATACATTGTTGGGCCTATTCTCTAACAGCTTAACCGTTTGGAGCCATTGGAGTTCTAACATAGTATTAGAGTTCTGGTTCTAGGAGGTCTTCAGGTCTAACCATATATGCATTTATTTTCTGTTTTGTTGAGCAATGCACTTGTTCCAATCTTGGTTTAGTCTGTTTGCCTCATGACATGCAAGACAGGGTTGCAGGTGAAGGAGGGTTTTGGAGCTTGCTATACATTATAGTATCCATTGTCTACTTTAAATGTTATTGGTGCAGTCAAGCTTTTGGAGCTGTTTTGCTCTTCCTTATTTGGAGGAATATGCTTGCAGTGAGGGATCAGTTTCTGCAGCTTATGGTTTTCAAAGTGGGGGATGGTAGTTCCATAAGATTGTTTACAGACCCTTGGTGTCAAGGGCAATCTTTACTGGTTAAAATTCATCGAAGGCTGTATAGGGAGTTGAGACTTCCAAAGAATGCTCTAGTTGGTGATATAATGGCTAATGGTCAGTGGAATGTTGTCATCTCTCAATCCTTGTATGCTCAGCAGCTCAGGAATTTTTTATCTACCATTACTATCAATGGTGGGGAGGACACAGTCATTTGGAGGAATGGAGAGTTCTGCTTCAGGGCTGCCTGGAGTGCTTGTACAGTTCACAGCCCTCTAGTAGGTTGGTATAAGGTATGTTGGGTTGGTTGCAGACCAAGTGTAGCTGTTACTGCATGCTTAGCTATTCAAGACAAACTCCTCTCCTTTCACAACCTTCAAAGAAGAGGTATTTGCTTAACTTCAGTATGTTACAACTGTTGGACGGATCCTTCCACTTTAACTTGGTATCAAAGCCTCTAATTCAACCAGAATTCATCCAAACAGTGTACAGAACATCAGGAGTGAGAGAACAGAGTTGACGTCAGTTTTTTCACGCTGACGTCAGCATCTGGAGGCTGGAAATTTTCGGAAATCATATGGTCTTGATCGTCTCACTTTTCTGGTAATTATGGTGATTTTTTCAGAATTTTTTGAAGCCATTTGATTGGCCTTTTCATTTTTCGAATCTTTTTCTGTCTTGTGGCCAAAAAAAAATCGATCTTGATTTTGGGGCACTTTTGGTTGTGTTTTTTTTTAATTGGAATCCACACTATATGGTGCGTCTACCCTAGAAAGAAGTCCGATTGCCGTTTGTTAAACAGTTCATTGCATTTGGATCAATTTTTTTTGGCTCAAAGGGGGGTCGGCCAGTCAGGTTTCTCGGTATTCTTCAGCCTATGAAATTGGTTCTGCTGTTCTCTTGCTTTGGAAATATTTTTTGGATGTTTGGGACCCTACAAGTGCAACATTTTAAATACAATTTGTTCGTCTGAATAATGTACACCAAGTGTCTTATTTGTGTTTCAGCCTCGAAGTCCTGAAAACAGAATTATATTCTGTTCCTTTTTGCGGTTTTTTGGTTCTGGTTTGAATCCTTATCATGGCTGAAAACAAACCAGTATCCTTCAAGGATGATGATATGCCTAAGTCGATCACCTCGCAAAAATTGAATGGAGTTAATTATCTTTCTTGGGCTCACGCCGTTTAAGTTTTTTTGCGTGGGCGAAGGAAATTGAAATACTTGACTGAAAATCCTCCCTCTGACGAGAAGAACATTGAAGATTGGAAATGTGAGGATAGTGTTGTTATGGGATGGCTATAGCACAATATGGAACCCAATATTGCTAGTACAGTTGCATTTTGTGATTCCTCTAAGAAGATTTGGGACTCTATTGCAGAATCTTTTTCTCAACAAAGTAATGTTTCTCATGTTTATGAGTTGTACGAGAAAATTTTTGCTACTAAGCAGTCCGGAAAACCATTGTCAGAATACTATAGTACCTTGAAAATTTTGTGGGATCAGTTGCTGCAACATAGAACATTTACTATTGATTTAGAGCAGCAAAAGCGGCATTGGGAGGAGTTTATGATTGCTTCTTTGCTATCCGGTTTAGACACAGATCTTCATGGCTTCAAAGATCAGATTCTTGCTAGCGAGAAGTTACCTACAGCTGCTAATGCTTATTCTCGTTTATTGAGATCATCTTTAGGACAAAGTTCCACTGTAAGTCCTGCAGAGTCTTTTGCATTAGTCTCTAGCTTTGGAGGCCGTGGTGGTTCTCGTGGTAGCCGTGGTGGTCGTGGTTCTCATGGTGGTTCCCGTAGTGGTGGCCATCGTATTGTTTTAGCTGATGGTTCTTCTCGTCCTGTATGTGGGAAAGGTGTCCTTCACCCTACCAAGTCATCGTCATTGTCTTCTAGTCTTTATGTTCCTAATTTTCCTTTTAATCTGCTTTCTGTAAGTCAACTGACTAAGACATTGCAATGTTCTATAACCTTTTCTCCCAATTCATGTGTTTTACAAGGCCTCGGGACAAAGAAGATGATTGGTTCAGGGCATGAGCAGGATGGGCTATATTATATGGATTCTAGTGAACCTCCTTCTGCCTTGTAATCAGCTTTGAGTGCTACAGTTTCGCCTCTTCAATGGCATTTTCGTTTGGGTCACCCATCTTTGGCAAAATTACGATTAGCTATTCCTACACTGAGTCGTGTCTGTCTTCAACTGTGAAGCTTGTCAGTTGGGCAAGCATCGCCGTAGCTCTTTTCCGAGTAGTAGTCATAGTCGTCTGAGTCTTTCGATGTAGTCCATACGGACATTTGGGGTCCCTCTTGAACCGCTAGTTTCAATGGATTTCGTTATTTTGTTATATTTGTTGATGACTATTCTCGCATGACATGGTTATTTTTTATGAAAGAGAGATCTGAGTTGCCTCATATTATTGTTAAATTCTATAATGAAATTTTTACTCAGATTGGTAAACGCATTAAAGTTATTCGATTTGATAATGCCTTGGAGTGTATACAATCAACCATGAATTCATTTTGTGTTGATCGGGGTATCATACATCAGACTAGTTGTGCTCACACTTCGCAACAGAATGGTGTTGCTGAACGAAAACACCGCCATGTGTTGGATGTTGCTCGTACCTTGTTATTCAATATGAAGGTGCCAAAACAGTATTGGGCCGATGCAGTTCTTACTGCTAGTTATCTCATTAACCGTATGCCCTCTGTTGTTCTGAATAATCAGTCTCCCTTTTCTCTTTTATATCCTGATCTCTCTCCTTTCCAGCTCACTCCTCGCGTCTTTGATTGTATAGCCTTTGTTCACATCTTAGATCCTGGTCATGACAAACTATTTCCTCGTGCTCATAAGTGTGTTTTTCTTGGGTACTCCTATACTCAGAAGGGGTATCATTGCTACAGTCCCAAATGTCGTCAATACTTTGTAAGTGCTAATGTTACTTTTTTTGAGTTGTCTGCTTTCTTTTCATCGTCAGGTCATAATTTGTCTTCTGATCTTATATCCACTCGTGAGGGGGTCATTCATATCTTCTCCAACTCTTCCAATGCCGGTGCCAATAGATACACCTTATAATCCTCCCTTGCAGGTTTACCAGTGATCAAAATCTCAGCCCGTTGTTTCTTATTCTCAGGACACCACATCTTCTCAACCAGAGGTTCTTGTTCCTTCATCATCCACCTCTGATACTAATGATTTACCAATTGCCTTACGTCGAGGTAAACGTACTTGTACTTAACATCCAATTGCTAATTTTGTGTCCTATAACCATGTTTCCTCCTCTTTGCAGTCTTTTGCTTTTACCTTGTCCTCTATCTCTATTCCCTCATCTTATCAGCAGGCTTTAAATATGTTTGGTTGGAAACATGCTATGGATGAGGAAATGAGTGCTCTTCACAAGAATCAGACTTGGGATCTTATTGTTCTTCCATCTGGGAAACAAACTGTAGATTGTCGTTGGGTATACACTATTAAATATTTTCCCGATGGTTCTGTTGAGCAGCTTAAGGCACGGTTGGTTGCCAAAGGGTACACGCAAACTTATGGGGTTGATTATTTAGAGACATTCTCTCCTGTAGCCCGTCTTAATTTTTGTACAGGTTCTTCATTCCGTGGCAGCTTCTTGTTCTTGGCCTTTATATCAGCTTGATATAAAAAATGTCTTTCTTCATGGTGACCTACAGGAGGAAGTTTATATGGATCAACCACCTGGTTTTGTTGTTGCTGGCAGTGAGCACCTAGTGTGTAGACTACAGAAGGCTCTTTATGGTTTAAAATAGTCTCCTCGTGCTTGGTTTGATAGATTCAGTGCTGTGATGATTGAGTTTGGCTTTCAGCGCTCTACTTCCGATCATTCTGTCTTTGTTCGTTGCTCTTTTGTTGGCACTATTGTCTTGATTGTCTATATTGATGATATAATTATATCTAGGAATGATTCATCAGGCATTGCAGAGTTGAAAAGACATTTGAGTCAACATTTTCATACTAAGGACTTCGTGTTCTTCGCTATTTCCTTGGGATTGATGTTGCTCGTTCTCATCAGGGCATCTCACAATCTCAACGGAAATATGTTCTTGGTCTTTT